CAAAGATATAATGCCCGACGACCTACCCGCAGGCGTACCTCTAGCACGCACCCACGAGCACGAGATTGTGGAGGAACCAGGTGCGAAACCCGTCTTACGTGCACCGTACCGACTGAGTCCGACCGAACTGACAGACATGAAGAAACAGATAGAGTATCTACTGGACAGACAACTTATCCGCCCATCCACCTCTCCCTACGGTGCACCAATCCTCTTCACTGCAAAACCAAACGGCAGTTTACGGATGTGCATCGACTACCGCGCACTGAACAAACAGAGAGTTAAAAACAAATACCCCATACCGCGCATCGACGACCTTCTAGATCAACTGCGTGGTGCAACAGTCTTTTCGAAGCTGGACCTACGGTCGGGTTACTGGCAGATCAAGATGGCAGACAACTCGGTCCACAAGACGGCGTTCCGTACCAGATACGGCTCCTACGAATACTTGGTGATGCCGTTCGGACTCTGCAACGCACCAGCAACGTTTCAGGCGGAGATGAATCACATCCTACGGCCCCTGTTGGACGAGTGCGTGGTGGTGTACCTGGACGACATTCTTATCTACTCCAAGAACATGAAGGAGCACGTGGAGCATCTACGGAAGGTCTTCGAGATCCTGCGGAAGAACAAGTCCTACGTGAAGCTGTCGAAGAGCGACTTCGCCCTGAAGAAGGTGCAGTTTCTCGGGCACATGGTGAGTGCCGAGGGCGTACACGTGGACCCGCGGAAAATCGAAGCCGTTAAGAAGTGGAAAGTACCGGAGAACGTGAAGGAGTTGCAGCAGTTCCTAGGCTTTGCCAACTACTACAACAGGTTTGTGCCGCAGTACGCTAAGATAGCAGCGCCACTGACCGACCTACTGAAAAAGGATACGCCCTACAAATAGGATACTCCTCATCAGCAAGCCATGGAGAAGCTACAGACAGCACTGACTACAGCACCAGTACTCATCCTACCAGACCTAGACAAGGACTACGTGGTGGATGCAGACGCTAGTGACCAAGCAGTCGGAGCAGTACTGATGCAGGATCACGGACGCAGTTTGCAGCCCATCGCCTACCTCGGTAAGAAGCTACACGGAGCAGAACTGAATTACCCCATCTATGACAAGGAAGCCTTAGCGATAGTCATAGCCTTCAAGGCGTGGAGGTGTTACCTAGAGGGAACCAAGACTACAGTATACACTGACCACTGCAGTCTCAAATACCTGAAGTCGCAGCCGACGCTCTCTCGACGACAGGTGCGGTGGGTGGACTTCCTGGAAACTCACTTCCACTACGACATCGTCTACAAGCCCGGGCTACACAACAAGGCAGACGCATTGAGCCGCCCCGGACATGTAGCAGGCATCCAGCTCGACGGGATGAGCCCTCTGCTCAAGGGTCTATTCCAACATGGGTACTCCGTGGACGCAGAAATCGCTACAGCACAGACCAAGAAGTTGTTACAGTGGGAGAAAGACTTAGCTGTAAGGAAGAGTTCATGAAAGATTTAGGTACCGAATTACGCCCCGCTACGGCAGATCCTATTGGAGGAGTTTCACGATGTACCATACGCGGGACATTTCGGGAGCAGCAAGACGTTAGCGGGAATAGCAAAGTATTACTACTGGCCCGGGATGGCAGCGGACGTGCAGCAGTTCGTCACCTCTTGCGACACATGCCAGCGGATGAAGAGCAGCAAGCAGAAAAAAGCATGGTTACTTCAGCCTCTACCCGTACCGGAGCAGCCATGGCAGGTCGTTAGCCTCGACTTCATCACAGGACTTCCTCACAGTAAGTGTCTCGCGCGGACGCCGCTGCAGCTGCAGCTGGCCACTGCCAGACGCCCCCGACTGACCAGCTCAAGGGCGACAGCCACGACGGCTACCGCCATAACCCCAACTAGCGTACCACTCACGAAGCTGCTGGGGCGTGAGAGACTTGCGCGGACGTCGCCGTAGGTGTATCTGGCCACCGCCAGTAGCAGCAGTAGCAGTAGTAGGAGCAGTAGCAGCAGCAGCAGCCTATCAGCAGCAACAGAAGTAGCAGCAGTAGCAGAAGTAGCAGCGCGGGCAGGGCAGTGCGGCTCAGCAGAGCAGGGCTGCACAGCCTGGCAGCCCGACGCAGCTCGGTGGGGCTGCTCGGCGCGGCGGAGCGGCGCGACTCCGCTGGGCGGCGCGGCAGGCAGGCAGATGGCACGGCAGCGCGCTAACAAGGCAGGCGCGCATGAAGCACGAGTAGGGCAGGTGCTCACCAGTGGCGGGAAGGGCAGGCGCTCGCCGGGCAAGCAGGGCGGGGCCGCGACAGCGGCAGGGCGGGGCCGCGTCGGCGGCAGGGCGGGGTCGCGACAGCTGCAGGGCTGGGGCCACGACAGCGGCAGGGCAGGGCCGCGGCAGCTGCTGCAGGGCGGGGCCGTGTCGGCGGAAGGGCAGGGCCTGGCGGGGCCGCGTCGGCGGTAGGGCGGGGCCGCGACAGTGGCAGGGACGGCGTGCGGTCGGGCAGAGGCTGCGCGCGGGCGGCAAGGTGGGTGTGTGGGAGCCGAGGGCGTGGCGCTATGGGGGTTGCCGTGGGATTGGCGCTAGGGTGCAATAGGGGGTGTGTGAAAGGGGTGTGGGACAGTTGGGGGAGGTTGAGCGGAGGTTGCCGTCGTGACGTCAGCAGCGCCAGTAGGCCGGGGCCCTTGCTCCGTTAGCCCAGCGAGCCAGTCGCTGCGCCAGTCGCCCGTAGGTGTGTTGCTCCTGCCGCTCGTGTTAGCCGCGGAGCCAGTTACTCTTGTAGTCTGGGGTTTTCTTTTGGTAGCCACCGTGCGCGCCCCTCCTGTTGCCCGTGTATCTACGGCTTCACCCGTCGCCTCCTATCTCCACTCCTCTCACAGTTCCTCCTCCCCCTTCCTCACTTCGCCTCTTCTTCTGCTGCGCCCTGCAGGGTGTACCAATTTAGGGGGTGTTCTGGACATCGCTATCCCTGCATGCACTTAGGGGGTGTGTCATAATGCATTTTATATATATTTTGTATGAGTGCATGTAGTTCTAGCTGTAGTGTAGTCCCATAGTTGTCATGTGTGGTGGTGCACCACTCCTTGCATGCTTCTCCTCTATTTGTACTTGTCATTCTATAGTACAAACAACCCCTCCTTTGTTTGGACATCTCTCTCATGCCTAGGTTAAACCCTAAGCTCATAGTCCTAGCTATACCGTCAGCCCCCGGATAGAAGCGCCCCTGGGGGTATAAAAAAACACTGTTTTTTAGGGGGTGCGCTAATAATTGAGGAATTTTATAAGCGCTGGCGCTTATAAAATGGCAAAAAGAATATATATTTGTTTTACACCAAACTGTATATCTCGTTCTGCCGATTGTAATCGAGTCGAAAACATATTGGGTCGCGAATCTGATTCTCGCGCAGCTTGGCAGGGAGTGATTCCCTGCCAGCTCACACTGACAAAATTACAGCACATGCTGACTAGACGCGCAAAAAGTGAGTTCAGAGTGTGGGCAATCGAAACTGTAGTTCGTTTCCCTGATAATGTGAAATTCGTTTCTGAAATTTGAAAGGTTTTCATATGAAAAACAGACATGCGCTTATAATATATCATCTTTTTCTAGGGGGTGCGCTCATAATCGAGGAACGGATATAAGCGCCAGGCCCTCAGATTCGTTTTTGGCCTGTCTGATTCGTCAGACTAGTACACAGTTTTAGTCTGAAAATCTCAGACTTGGTATGGAAAAAAGGCTGAAATTTCAGAGTGTCTTAAAACAAAAGTCTGATCCGTCAAAATCAATGTATTCAATGTTTCATCGGAAGTGTATTCAATGTTTCATTCATCTGATATCGAAACATGCTCTAACAGGGCGAATATATGTGTCAGGGCGTTTTTGCTGTGATTGGGCGAAGATTGTTGTACTCTGACAGCGCAAATCTGTTGTGTCAGGGCGATTTTCCTATGATTGGGCGAAAATCTAGTGCTGTAAGACTCGGATTTGCTGTGTCAGTGCGAATCTGCTGTGACCCGTAAGTCCGAATCACCAGTCAAGGACGCGTTTGTACTCTGAATTATCAGAGTACACTCTCTGAAAACTCTGAACTCTCAGAGTTAGCCTTAAAAAAGGTCTGAAAATTACAGAGTTGAGGCCCAAAAAAGTCTGATTTTATCAGAGAACACAGGAAAAAAAATCTGAAATATCAGAGAAAAAAGTCCAAATCAGAGAAAAAAGTCTGACTTCTGAGGGCCTGATAAGCGCCCTCATCCTTTTATAAGCGCCGGCGCTTATCCGAGGCCTGCGCTTCTATCCGGGGGCTTACGGTATCTACTATTTCAACACCTTCATCGGGCGACTCCTGACGCGCTTCACCCCGCGTCCGGTATAGCTCGGTGTTTTCTTCACGTAATGTCGTGACTTCCGTTGAGAACGTCTTCACTGTTGCCTGTAGTTCTTGCATTTGCGCCAGCATCCTCTTCATCGCTTCCGGGTCCATGGGTTGCACGCTTCGTCTGGAAGGCATAGGGGTATCCGTGGCCTTTCAGGCAAGTGGAAAGCAAAAACTATTGGAGTCGGGCAGGTTAGAATTAATGAACCTTGCAGCCAACTTTTTTGCAGTCCACTGTACCAGCTAATCCCTCGTGCCTCCAGACTACCCTCGAAAAGCGGGGTGAACTAGGAAAGTAGCTCTGATACCAGGTGTTGAGAGTTGTTAAAGAGAGTGCGCGGAATAACGAATAACGAGAATGTGACTCGAACTGACAATACAATGAAGACACGAGATTATATAGTGACTACCCTAGCTAGGAGGGAACCTCGGGGAAACGAGGTTGGGTGCAGGTTTGGCGATCGGAAAACCGAAGGCAACGCGGGGCAGCCTCGGCATCGGAAATGTAGGCCGAACGTGCGAATTCCGAAATGTCGGGGTTGTACGCGTAGTAACCCGGTAAGGAATACCGGTAAGGAAAATTCCTTGCACCAAACCAACTTTCAAGTTAAATTTCCATTAAACATTGCCGATCTGGACGTAGGCTTTACATGTGTAGCTGTTACAACCCTCATGAACCTTTGTGTCTGCGATTGACTTGTGATGGACATATCTCCCAGCATCTTCACGCAGCCACGGGCATATATCGATGGGTAAAGGTCGACGACGAAGGCCAGTCGTCTGCGGGAAAAGCCACCGCCGATCATCGCGTGCTCACATCTGTCTCGCGCGCCTCTGCTCCCAGCTCCCGCCCCACGCGCCACGCCGCCGGCAGCGGCGGCGATAGAGACGCCATGGAAGGCGGCGCAGCTGTGCAGTCCGCCAGTGGGACGAGCGGGGGGGGCGGCGGTAGGGGGGTGAGAGGAACGGGCAGCGGGGTGGTGGCGGATGATGGGGGCGAGTCGGTGAACCTGCGGGAAGGCGGGGGGGCGGCTGGGGTGGTGGGATCGGCGCCGATATCGCGGCGTCGGATGCGGCTGAGGCAAGGGGAGGCGATGCGGCGGCGAGGCAGCGACACGTGGGGGTGGGTGCTGAGCGGACTGGCGGCCTGGTGCCCGGGCCACTCGCGCCCGGGAGCACGCCGAGGCGCGTTCGGCCGCAGCAGCGCTGGTGCTGGCAGCAACAGACTGCAGGGCAGTCGGCGACAGGCGAAGAGCGCGCAAGGGTTACCGTTGTCGCTGAGGCTGTTCCTGGCGACGGCGGCGGCGCTGGCCGTGGTGGCGGGCAGCGCGCGCCTCATGCAGGGCGACGACGCCCTCCCCGCGCGCCCGCTCCTCCACCTCCTGCCCGACGTGCGCGCCCGCACACACGCGGCGTCCGCCTCGCCCGTATCGGGGGGGCACGGGGGCAGCCACAACGACTCCCATGTTGGCGGTGGAGGGGTGGCGGGAGCGGGGACAGGGGTGGAGGGGGAAGGGGCGGGTGGTGGAATTGTGGGACAAGAGGGAGAGGGCAGCAATGGGCCAGATGGGGAAGGGCGTTGGGATGTGGGTGCAGCGGGCGGTAGTGGAGATGGCGGGACGAGCATGGGTGGAGACGCGGGGTGGGAGGAGGACGAGGAGGAGAGCAGCGAGGAGGGCGAGGGGGCGCGCAGGGAAGGTGGCGCTTCAGGTGAGTCCGGTGGTGGCAGGGGCGCGCGTGATGCGGCAGAGGGGCTAGGGAGGGAGGGTGAGAGCGAGGGGGCGGAGGAGGACGTGAGTGAAGGGGAGGGTGCAGCGGTGAGGGGGTTGGGTGGGTGGGCGGGTCCGTTTGACAGCATTGAGGACGAGGCCGTGGTGGCGCATGGCTTGAGCGCCTTCGGCATGCGCACGCCGCCACCTGCATTGCCATCGTCACGTGCGGCAGTGCGGCAGTGTCGGCAGGGGGGTGATTTCAGGGCAGCGGTGGAGGGGCGGTCGGTGGTGGTGGTGCTGCACGAGGCGTCGCTCACGGGTGCACCGCTGGCCGGCATGGAGCTCGCCGAGGAGGTCGCGCTCTGCACCCCCCCTGCCCCCGCCCCCCGCCCCCGCAAGGCCGGCACGCTCGTGCCACAGCGGCGGCGCCTGCTGGCTAGTGAGGGTGAGGGGGGCAGGGAACGGGCAGCACGGGAGGGCTGCAATGCCACCTGCTCGGATGCACACTTGACCTTGCGACGGCTGCTGGGGGGGGTTGTGGTGGAGGGGGCGCAGCGAGCACGAGGGAGGGATAGGAGGGGCTTGCGAGGAGGAGGAGCACACAAGGGGCAGCGCGCACAGCAGAGGCAGCAGCGCATGGAGCAGCAGAAGCTGCGGCGACGGCAGCGGCGGCAGCAGTTGCAGCAGCGGCAGATGGCTGCAGCGGAGCAGGCAGGCATGGTGGTGGGTGGGGCGGGCGTGCACGTGCTGCTGCTCAACCGCAAAGGCGGGCTGCTGCCGGAGCTGCAGAGGCGCGGGCTCAGCGTGCTGAAGAGCAAGGGCAGTGACAGCTGGCGCGCCGCCATGGCGGCTCACGTGGTCATTGCTAGCTCCGCCACTGCGGCCTCATGGATCGGTGAGAGCGCTGCACCGCCCCGTGCTTGCATGCCTCTCCACTTTTCTGACCCAGTGAGCGGCACATAGCACATGCTCTTGTACCCTGCGCCCTGCACGCTCTCTTACTGCAGTGCTCTCACCCCACGTGCCCTCCATCTTAATTCTCTCCTTTTCCCCCTGCAGGCGCATACCTGGCAACTTGCAGCATTGGCAGTAGTGGCAACAGCAGCAGTGGTGATGGTAGTGGGGCGGAGGGCACAGCAGCAGGCATGGACGGCACCACTGCCACTGACGCATCTCTGCCCATGGCGGGCGAGGCAGGCGGGGTGAACGCATGTGGGCAGCGCCTGGTGTGGTGGCTCATGGAGAACCGGCGCGAGTACTTCGACCAGGCCAAGCCCCTGCTGCCACGTGTCAGCACTCTTATCTTCATCTCCCACTCGCAGGCAGCCACGTGGCGTGCATGGGCAGCAGCAGAGGGCCTGCAGCTGCCTGGCAAGCAGCACGTGATTCCGCTGTCCATCAACGCGGAACTCGCTGTCATTGCGGGCCTTGCCCCGCTGCTCCCCCCTTCGCCCCTCCCTCTGCCCACTCCCACAACGTCAGCAGCGGCTGCAGCAGCAGGGCAGGGCGTGGGAGAGGGTAGAGGGGAAGGGGAGGGGAACGGGGCAGCGGATCTGGCGGCGGCGTCAGCAGCAGCGAGGGCGGAGATGCGGCGCCGGGTGCGGGCACGCATTGGGGCGCGGCGCGGCGACATGGTGGTGCTGTGCCTGAGCTCCGTGAACCCGGGCAAGGGGCAGCTGGGGCTGCTGCAGGCCGCGCTGCAGGTGTGGGCGTCCAGGGGCGAGCTGGGCATGGCGGGGGGCGGGCTCGCAGCACAGGGCAGGGCGGGCGAGGTGGGTGTGGAGGAGGATGGGCAGGCGGGGGAGGGCGGTGGGCGTGGAGAGGCGGTGCAAGTGGTGAATGTGCAGCCACGCCGTGCACTGGCGCTCCCACACGCCCTCCCACCACCGCAGCTGCGCTGGCGCAGGCGGCGGCTGATAGTGGTGGTGGGGGCGATGAACGGCAAGAGCAACAAGGGCGAGTACATAGTGCGCATGGCGGAGGCCGTGCGCGAGAGGATGGGCGACGCCCATGTGGCTGCTCAGGTGAAGGCGGGCGGCATCGTGTGGGTGAATGCCACTCTCAAGGTGGCGCCCCTCTACGCTGCGGCTGATGCCTACGTCATGAACGCACAGGTAACAAGTGCTGTTGCCAGGGGGCAATACGGAATGGTTGCAGGAAGACACAGCACAGGGTGGCATGAGCATGACACTTGAAGAAAGTCTGGGTTGTCTGCTTATGGGCCAGCGTGTTTTGTGATGGCAACGGGGCTGTGTGACCTTGTTCCTGATGCAAGCCATTGCAAAGATACTGTTTCAGAAACGCTTCTTCTTTTTCCATTCCCTCGTACGCCTTCAGGGCATTGGGGAGACGTTTGGGCGTGTCACTGTGGAAGCCATGGCGTTCCAACTGCCGGTCAGTGTTCTGCCACTACATCTTCCTCCCGCTCTCTCGCTCTCAAATGTGTGTGCGCTTACTCCCAATCCTGCCTTTGCCTCCTCACTTGGCCAACCGCCCGTACCAGTCTCTCACTTGTCCATCCCTGTGCGAGCGCCAATCTGCGTGTTATTTGTCTGTGTGCCACGCCGGTGCAGGTCCTTGGCACGGCAGTGGGGGGCACAGCAGAGATAGTGAGGCACAACGTCACAGGCCTGCTGCACCCCGTGCGCTTCAAGGGAGTGCCGCTCTTAGCACGCCACCTCGCCCTTCTCTTGCGCCGCCCAAGCCTGCGTCGCCAGATGGGAATGAGGGGGCGGGAGGAGGTGCGGCAGCGCTTCCTTTCACACCTCATGTTTGCCCACATGGGGAAGGTCATTGGGGACGCCTTGCGAGCAGCCGATTCAAGTCAGCACATCGGAAAGACACAGTCAGGGGCACTGTGAAGGTGGATGGACAAGCAAGGTGCAACCTCATTGTTGGGAAAAAGAAAGTCAGAAAACATACCGTCATCACCCGGATATAAGACAGTGTTGAATAGTAGACAGGGGTTGTCTATTATACGGGTGTCTCTTATAAACAGGCTAGCCTCATTATAAGACACCTATTTGTGTGTACGAGATAAGTCATATGTGTCTTATAATCGAAACTGCAATATATTATAGTGAAAATTGAAGTACCGCGTACATTTTTACCATTGCGATACGCGAATTCTGCCACGTGCTGACTCACGTACTACCAAATTTGCCTTTGCAAGTATTCTCCATGACGTGGCACCCCGAACAATGGTTGCCGAAGTGGCACCTTCGCAACATCCACACTCATAATGAGAAACTCTTTTCAAGATGTGTGAAAATATTTTTAAGTAGTTTAAAAAAGTTTCCATTTATAAGACTTATAAGACACCCAAAACCTCCCCAAATACAAGATAACCCAAGCATTTTTTTTAGAGTATGAGATAAGACATATATGTCTTATATCCGGGCGATGACGGTATATGGTATACAGCACAGTTGGATCATTGGCGACTTCGCCACTGTATGTGTTATTTTCTTCTCTTCGTTTACCGGTACCCAGGGCTGACATTTCAAAAAACGCCTCCTTAATTCTGTCTCGCAAATTTTTTTTATACTCTGATGGCACTTGGGCCACAAAATGGCAAGTCTGAGCCTGTTATACAAAATCAGGGGCCAGAAAAACACATCTCTGGGCTTTCAGTGTTGCGGAAATGAAATCAGAGTCTCGTTATTGTTTTTTCTTTTGGTTTGTTGGCAACAAGGAATGCTGCAAAACACAAGAGGCAAGTGCAAGTGGTGTAACCTGGCGCCTTGCTTCCAAGTGCCAACTGGCCGAGCTGCTACATGTCAAACTATCATAATGTTGCTTATGTTGTGTAGGCTGTAGTGGGGTAGCCTATATGGGGTAAGATTCAATTAGAGTTAGTACTTATACTCAGTTTGATGTCAATGCAAGCATTCCTGCTCGTTAGTTTCTGACATGGTATCAGAGCAGTAGGTCTGTAAGACCGTTTTTTTTTTTCGGGCCCACCATTACCGTATGGCCCCAGATAGAAGCGCAGGCCTATTAAAAGCACATGCGCTTCTATCTGGGGCAATGCGCTTATGGCCGATCCTCAACTATAAGCGCACCCCCTGTAAAACCCTGACTTATTATAAGCGCATGTATAATATTAAATTTTGAACTTGCTTGAAACGGTAACGAACTTCAAATTTGCAGCGAGGTCACACCAATTTCGGTTCGATTGACTCGCGAGGACCTTACATCCTGCGCGTCCAGTCAGTATGAGCTGGAATTCCTGCGCAATGACGTGTAACTGCCCCTGTGCGCCGGCAGAAAATCGCTGGCGTACGATTCTGAATCGTGACCCCCTATCATTGCGCTTCGATTGAGATTGCAAGAAGGAGATGTACAATTTGGTGCAGTAAGAATATAAATTTGCATTTGTCATTTTATAAGTGTGAAAATGAACGAGGAATGAAAATGACTAAGGGAAAGTTGGGTACAAGTACAAACCCTAGAAAGCTGTACCCCATATGTGCTACCCCACTATAGCCTACAGCAGCTAAGTCATATAAATCTGATACACCCCCATAGGCAAAGTGGGGGAGGACAAGGGGTCACAAGACCAGTCAAGCAAAGCAAAGCAAGCTCAGGGTGGATCACAACGTCACCACACATTCCGAGCACAAGTTCAAGGCCACAAGGCCAGTTCACATGCAGGATTACATATATATATGAGGCTAAACAAGCAAGAGCAGGTGTATATATATATGTAACAGTACAAACAAGGTCAAGGGGTGAGCAAGTGAGGCAAGGTAGGCACAAGACCCAACTGAGTACAGAAGCGCTGATGATCACAAGGCGCAAGTGCCTTGGTGAAGATATCAGCAGTGTTGGCCTGAGAGGCCACGTACGCAAGGCGTAGCTGACCACGCTGCTGTAACTCACGAGCAAGGAAGTAGCGAAGAGCAATGTGCTTAGTCCTGTGCTCCAGTCTCTGCTCCCGACACAAGGCCAGCATGGCCTTGTTGTCTACGTACAGCAATGGAGGAGAACGAGGCGGCTCTCCGAGGTCAGTCAGCAGGTAGGTGAGCCAGCGAAGCTCCTGTGCAGCCATGGCCCCTGCGTAGATCTCAGCCTCACAACTGGAGCCGAGAACAGAAGACGAGCGGGTAGCCCGCCACGAGACAGAGCCGGAACCAAGGCTGAAGGTGTAACTTTGTGACGACCGCTGCGTAGCCTGGTCGTCAGCCCAAGAAGCGTCTGCGTGCCCAGTGAGGACTACTGGACTCTGCCCTCCAAGCACAAGCCCCATGCCCGACGTACTGCACAAGTAGCGCAACACCCTCTTCGCTGTAGCCATGTGCTCCGGTCTGTGTCTCCCAGGAGCAACATAGCGTGCGAGAATGCTAAGAGGGTATGCAAGGTCAGGTCGAGTGCAGGTCATCAGGTACATGAGGCAGCCAACAAGCTCTGGGTACGGGCCACTCGACTCTACGGACTCATCCGAAGGCAGAGCTGAGAGCGAGTGGCGAGTAGGCAGAGGAGTGGCCTGAGGCGAGGAGTACGTGAAGCCGAAGCGCTGAAGGACCTGCTGCACCATGTGTAACTGAGTCAGGGTAATGGTGCGGCGTGCTCTGTCCCGGGTGATCTGCAAGCCAAGGTAGCTGCGCAGTTCACCCAGGTCTGTGCACGTGTGTCTCTTCTGCAGCTCGGACTTCACGTGGGCGAGTCCAGCAGCGTCAGCTGTGGCAAAGACCAAGTCGTCGACGTACACGAGGATGTAGAACGGCGGCAAAGAAGTGTCGGTGCGCAGAAACAGCGACGGGTCGGCAGTAGAGGGAGCAAACCCAAGAGCCGCAAGCGTAGTCCTCAGTGTGTCGTGCCACTCACGCGGTGCCTGGCGGAGACCGTAGACTGGCCGCCGGAGGCTCCACTGGGTGCCAGGAGGAAAAGTCCCAGTGAAGCCAAGTGGGCGGCGCAGCCAGATCTCCTCGTGCAGGCTGCCCTGCAAGAAAGCAGTGCTGAAGTCAAGAGAGTGTAGCTCGTAGTCACGGTGAGCAGCTATGTGCAGCAGTACCCGAAGAGTGGTCATCTTCGGGGTGGGAGAGAAGGTCTGAAAGTAGTCAACTCCCTGCCGCTGATTGAAGCCACGAGCCACGTAACGCGCCTTGAAGACAGGCGGAGAACCCGGCGGCCGCTTCACCCTGAAAATCCACATGCCACTGACGATGTTCGCCCCAGGCGGGGGAACCTCGTCAACGTAGGTGCCTGTGGACTTCCAGGAAGCCATCTCTGCGTCCATAGCTGCCTGCCACTGAGAGGAGCAGGGACCCTCTATCGCCTCCGCGTAAGAGCGCGGAGTCGGGATGTCAAGTGCATCCGGGTCTCCCTCAGGGGTAAGCAGTACGGACACGAGATGAGGTGAAGCAGCAGCCAAACACTGGAACTCCTCCTGTCTGTCCTCAAGGACGTCCGTGCCAAGGGCACACTCACCCCCGACGGACGGAGGACAGACAGACTCAGACGCAGCAACAAGACTAGCAGCGTAGTCTAGACGACAGAGAGCAGCAAAGTCGACGAGCTCAGCAACTAGGGCAGACGCAGCAGTGGACTCAAAGGAAGGGTCAGTGACAACAGTAGCAAGGAGACGCGTGACAGTCGGACTGGCAGCACGAAGGGAGTCCGACTCCGGGTCAGCAAGAGCAGGAAGAGAGGACTCAGGAGGAGAAGGCAAAGGGGCACGCAGAGGAGCAGTGGACGGACGGAGAGACATCCGGTGCGTGCCGGGCACAGGGGGAGGACGCTGACGCGAACCACGACCACTAGCGCGAGCAGCACGGACAGGCGACGCAGGACGAGACGCAGGCTCACGACGCTCAGCAAGACCTCCAGTAGGACCAGTGTAGGGAGAAGGAGCAGGCAGTGGGGAGGCCGGCTGTAACTGTAACTATGACGGGACAGGCTGTGGACACTCTAAGGGAGGAGGAGGACCAGTAGAAGGCGGGAGACCAAGAACCTGCTCAAGAAGCGGAACGAAGTACGGCCGAGGCCGCGCAGCGACTCCAGACACAGCAGGGACAGCACCAGTACCCCCAGTGGTAGCACCAGCGCCAGCAGCACCTCCAGCTCCAGTACCCCCAGCAGCACCAGTAGCACCCCCAGCAGGACCGCCTCCAGTACCGCCAGCAGTACCCTCAGCGCCAACACCCTCATCAGCTCCAGCTCCAGTAGTACCCGCAGGCCCAGCAGCTCCAGTACTCCCAGTACGAGCACCTCCGGGACCAGTGGCACCAGCACCCTCAGCAGCCGAAGAACCTCCAGCTCCAGCAGCACGCCTCCAGCGCCGGGCAAACCACTCACGCACCTCCTGTGGAGAGAGTGGCTCCCGTCGAGACGGAGCACCCAGAGAACCTCCAGGCCCAGCACCGCCAGACGCCACACGAGCAGGCCCAGCTCCCTCAGGCTCCGCACCCCCAGGCTCAGCACCTCCAGGCGTAGCACCCCCAGGCTCAGCACCCCCAGTCGTAGCACCCCCAAGCTCAGCACCCCCAGGCTCAGCACCCCCAGTCGTAGCACCCTCAGGCTCAGCACCCCCGGGCTCAGCACCCCCAGGCGTAGCACCCACACGCTCAGCACCCCCTGAGTCAGCAGCGACCTCCACAGGCTCGACTGCGTCTACCTGGGACACACCTGAAGGGGCAGGACCCTGAGGGGGAAGGGGGTCTACCGGGGGGGGACCTGGCACAAGGAAGAGCGGAGGCGGGGGGAGGGACGGAGTGCGGTAGGGGAAGAGACGGTAGTAGGGGACCGACTCGTCAAACGTGACGTCCTGGGAGGACAAGACACGGCGAGAGGTGGGGTGGTAGAACTGCCACCCTGGCGCGTCAGGGGGGAAGCCAAGGAAGACGCAGAGAGCAGCACG